TTTTTAATTTATTGGTTCCTTCCCTAGAGTTCTAGATAAATGCTTTCAATTACTGTTGGAAAACAGGCAACTCTTAAACTTAAGCACATGGTCTTGAACAAATAAATCGCTTGCTGCTTAATATGGGTGACAGAACTTGTGTACAAGCTTACAGAACCTGCTGGTGCATAAAATCAAACCTGGCCCCACTGACAAGTGCTCATCACCGTTGCCCTACTGACCACCCTCAGAAGTATTGCCCTGCAGACCACACTCCGCAGCACCATGGGTAGCTCTCTGAAGATGAAGTGAGAGGAGTACTTTACGGGTCTGTGGTCCTCTCTTGCCTTTGTGTGGACTTGGATAGTGAAGGGCTGCAGAACAGGGTGTGTATGTCTTGTCCAGGCGGGTTAGCTCTATGCTGTCTGACATCTGGCCCTGTCTCTGGTAGATCTGGGCTGTTCGTTGGTTGGTGTGATTGAGGGAAGCGTATGCTCACATATAGCCTGAGTGTGTCTGTGTTATATTTAAACTGCTTGTAAGTAATGCTTGGTGATGTTTTCTTGTCTGTTTGCAGTGCCTCCAGGGATTGTGGGTGAAAATAAATTGGAAGATGTGAAAGTGAAAGAGAAGCACAGAGTTACCCTAGCATGTGAAGTGATAGGTAAAAGTATACAATAGTACCTACGTTTCCTGATCAGACCCATGGTGTTGATCACCATTGGTTCTGAACAGCACGTTTTTAATGGAATTTTCAGTTCAGTGGAATTTTTAAATTTTGGTTTTAACATGGTGCTTAGGGCACTCCTTTTTATAAAGGTTGTATGTAACCAAGAGGATGGTTGCTGTGATATTTCTTCTTTAAAGGTCTGTGGAATTTAAGAGGAGGTGTGTATTACTTCAGGAGGCTCAAATACTTTAGAATATGTGTTCCAAAACATCTCCCGAAGGGATACATGTTAAACGGGCATCTGAAACTGTATTTTCCCATTTTTCTGAAATCTTGGCATATCCTAGAGGCTATGCAACAACTAATATTTCCAATTTTCTTTGCTCCATTAAGGGAACCCTGTGCCACAGATCACCTGGATAAAGGATGGGCAATCTCTAACTGAGGATGAAGATCACAAGTTTCTGTCCAGTGGGCGTTTCTTGCAAATCAACAATGCTCAAGTCACTGACACTGGGAGATACACATGTATTGCGTCCAATACAGCTGGAGATAAGAGCAAAAGTTACAGTCTTAATGTACTTGGTAAGACAGCTGGGCTGGCTCTTGCAGAGAAAAATATTAATCTCTGGAAAAAACAGATAATCACATTGGAATTTTGTAGTGCTTTAATTACAGCAATGCGTAAGTTGCCTGTCTACGATTAAAATTATATAGCTTAGTAGTTGATGAATAATAGTAGTTCAATAGAAACAGCAGTTGTGTGCTGTAGACAATATAGCGCTAGAAAATGCAGAAGTGTAACAGGACATTGTCTGTACGGAACAAGCAGGACAGTACATTGGCTTATTGTGATTCGAGGAAGGAGTATCTGAACAACACTCCAGATTGTGATCTCTTCATAAAAGCCGAAACCATCTGCAGTTCGCTTTTTTCATGACAGTTATTGCATAACCAAATGCAAACAATGGCAAGTTTGTTTTCCACGTACTCCTTTCCTACGCTTCTGCCTCCTCCCAGTCTGCTGCTCCCAGAATCGTCAAGCAGCGGGTCTGCCAGCTGCTGTGCAAGAAGCAGTGGCTGGCTTCCTGGTGACCTGTGTTTGACAAAGGCTAAGAGTTCCACCAACACGGGCTGACCGTTGATTTCAGGACAAAACATAAAACCAAATTAGTGTTGTCTGGTTCTGGGTTTCAGTATGCTTCATAGGAATGCCTCCTGGCTGTTTGAGGCTACATCCTGATTCATAGACCAAAGAGGGAAGGGAAAATTGGCTTTTCATACACTCTGGCTAATGGTTTTGTTGTTCCTAGTGTCTCCAACCATTGTGGGTGCAGACAGCCATGGAAATGCAGAAGATGTCACTGTTATCCTCAACAGCCCAACATCACTGGTTTGTGAGGCTTACTCATATCCTCCAGCTACAATCACCTGGCTGAAAGATGGTAATCCTTTAGAATCAAACAGAAATATCCGCATTTTGCCAGGTAAATTTTTTGTTGCTATTGAGAAACAAAATAACACTTTATTTTTTTATTGTTTAGTTTCCCGTTACTGACTTTTTTGAAAAATCAAAGGATGTATTTCTGTTAAGTGCAATATTTGTACTTTTGTAGCATTTCCCATTCCAATATTTTTTTTTAAGTGCTTCACAATTAACTGATTATTTACTTGTATTTCATTTGTGTTCAGGTATTTATCCTTTTGTTCCATAAAGCTAAGTGATAGCAAACAAGTTCAATAGAGTTAATAATGAATGTAAATATCTTGAAATTAAGTGTGGAAATTAGATGGAGAGAGATATAAATAACACTGTTAGTAAAAAGAATGCGGTGGCATTTTTCTAGGTCATTAGGAATTTGCTGGTTTTAATTTGTGGATTTACTCTTACCTGGGACATATATGGAGATGGAAAATGGGAACAAGCTTCAGTGGTAACGCTGAAGTAATGTAGATGAACAAATACTTCAGCATTGTTACCTGCAAGTGTTCAGAGGAAGTGATAGTGAGGAATTGAGCTACTACATGGGGGGACAATTTCTAGGAATGCAGTCTGAAAAGATCTGCAGCCGGATTTAATAGTGACTCGTCTCTGAGAATGCAGACAGCATAAATGATAAATAAACAGGATACTTTGGGAAGGAAATTGATGGATGTCAAAGTTGCAGAGGCCACCTGAAGTCTTAAATCCTACCGATTCATTCCTGTTTACATCTCTTCTCACACTGTGGCTGTTGCTTCTGTCCATTTTCCAGAGGGAGTTAAGGGCCTCTTTCCTCTGAAGTACTGCACTGACACAGAAAGGCAGTTCGGAGGCTCACACCCACCCCTGCACATTGAATAGACTCTTTTTGCTTGGTCTTAGCGATTATGCCTCCTTTCCCTTTTCTGTGAATGATGGGTGGAACCCTAAATCACTTTTTCCTATCTCAATATCTTCAAGCAATTTCTGGTACAGAACGATGTTAAATTTTCCAAGAATCTGTAAGCAACAGGAGTTGTAATCTGAGGCACTCCTGCAAACTGCACTCTCACTTATTGTGCAGTATACGTGGTGGTAAGCAGTCAGCTTTTCATGCTCAGCTAAGGGCAGAATTTGGACCAAAGGGTAGAAAATATGCTGCAGAAACTATTTAAATAATTGGGAAGCAAGAGTATAATGTAGATGCTATTAAAGAGAGATGTCTTTCGGCAGGTGGTCGAACCCTGCAGATTCTAAATGCCCAGGAGGACAACGCTGGAAGATACACCTGTATAGCCACAAATGAGGCTGGAGAAACTCTGAAACACTATGAAGTGAAAGTTTACAGTATGGAAATACTTCCAATTTTTTTTTTTTTTTTTTTTTTTTTTTTGTAGGGGGTGTTTGGTTTTGGTTTTTTTTTTTCATTCTTCCATTTTTCCCCTTTTCAGTGTTACCTATTCTGGTTAATACAGGGATTTGTGTTAGTAGTTTTCTTTAGCAAACATCTGCATTAGTTCATAGCATTGCTTGAGGAAAGACACTAGAAAAGTTTGCTGTTACATCCTTTATGAATGCTGCTGTTGGGCTAAAAATCTTTGTACCTTCCAGGGCAAGACATTTAAGAAATGTTGAACTCCAGTTTCTTCTGAAATGCTTTTTTGGTAATGATTTTCAAATCAGACAAGTGCAGCACAATGGGAGATGTAAGCAGAGTATCTCGTGAGCAAAGAAACTATTTCAGAAAAAAACGAGGGGAGGGGACCTGTACCATCTAATGGGAAGCTTGCTTGAGTAAGGTAAAACAGAAGGATACTATTTTTATGTCCTTCCATAAAATACCATATGCACAAAAGCTTTCCCATTCAAGGCTTCCTGTCAGCACATTGTCCTTTGAGCATCTGTGCCTAATACTCTATTTTAATGCTCAAACTCTCTCATTATGGGCCCAGTCAAGCATGATTTTTCATCTTTTTTTTAATTTATTTTTTATTTTCTAGTCTGAATTGAAGTTTGGTTTGCTCCCTCACAGTAACCATGCTGTTATTTTAGTTACGCTAAGTCCCTAATAAGGCCCCATTGGATTTGGAATAATGAGAAGATGACAAAAGAGTTCATTATTGAAGTATGGCTGTGTAGCAACATAAAGCCCCCCCCGCCCCCACCATTGCAACTGTCAGTTATTGTGGTACTGTAAGCATTAAGAAGAACTTAAAATTTCCCATTGAAAAAAGAATGGAAAATGCTTTAAAAGCATTTAAAATAATTTAAAAGATACTATCAGACCAGAGTGGGGGGTAGCTTAAGAGTTTTGAAATATTCTGTTTTCGATCTGATTCAGAAGGAAACAAGATTTTGCAACATTGGGGTTTCAGTAGAATGGAAATGTTGACTTTTGACCAGCTACTCTTGAGCGTGGACTTGGGTTCAAGCATGTTTCTGAGAATATGAGTTTCCATTAAAATGCTTTTTAATGACTGTAGTACACTGAACTTTGTAGAGTTCAAGCCAAACACATAAGAAAGTGCTATAGCTAGGTAAGGCTGTAGTCAGGTTTGCATGTCTAAAACGCTTGAATAGAGTTTTATATATAATACATACACTAAAAATAGTTTAAAATACACACACACACATATATATATATGCATAAATAAAAATTCAGCTATGGGGAAGAGGCAGTTCATAGGGAGGGATTATAGGGGAATGTCCTTGCTTTCCCTGAGGTTATCATCCAGGTTTTTCCCTTTGTCCTCTTAATTTTGGAATGCTGCATAAGACAGTAAGTCATGAAAGTCCCTCTTGCTCCCTTTGTTTTTGTGCAGTTCCACCCACCATTAACAAAGGGGATGTCTCAGCAATGGGTCTCTCCCCTAAAGAAGTGAAGATCAAAGTAAACCACAGCCTCACCCTGGAGTGTGAAGCTCATGCCATTCCCGCTGCTGCCATCAGCTGGTACAAGGATGGACAGGCCAGTCACAAACTTAATTCCTTCTAATGGGGGGATTTTGTACAGAAACAACTGCGTGTTCACTATCACTGTTAATGAACATTCATGCAGCTTAACAGGCTGCTTGCACGTAGGAAGTCATCTTCCCACCGTCCTGCTGGCAGCATCACCCCTCACCCATCTTAGGCTGTTTGCTGTTGGCCAGACCTCCACAAATGGACACCTTTGCTTTTTTGTGGGTGCTTGACGGTGCCACTGAGCCATCAGTGCTGGAGTTTCCAGGGCCCAGCACTGGCCTGTGCTGTAACTGGGGGGTGGGAGGGGGCTGCCGAGCAGTAGCATCCCACGGTATGACCACATGTTGCTGTGCCATTGCGTGAGGTCCCCAAAGGCTCCGCTACAGAACGACCTCACGCTTGGTTCCTCTCAGTGCTGCCCTTGCAGAAGTTGCAGAGGGCCTCCCGCTTGGTTCTGGCAGAGCTCACAAAGCCACAAAAGCATCTGGATCCTCTGCGAGGGGGAATGAGGTGTGGTTCCTGCCACACGCAGTCTTTGCAACAACATCGGTCCAGAGGAGCAGCGGTTTGGAAGGGCGATGCCATAGGATTGTACTGCTGTCTAGTCCACTGGGGGCTGCCTGTAAATACAAAAGAAATGGTGCAACACTTCTGTAGGAAAGGAGAATATAATCTCTTGCTGTAGCCGTTCTTGGGAGGGCGCTTACCATGTGGCAGGCTGCTGCACCTCTGCAGCTGGACCAGCTCTTCCTAGATTTACGGAGCATGCAGAAACAGCTCTCTAACTGTGTGTACACCCTCCGTCTGTTTTGAGCATATATGGTAATTCGAGGATCTCCTGAGTGTATGATTGTACTGCCAATAAAAAATGATGTTGGGGAGGGTTGAAATGTCCCCAAAGACGGACATTGTCAGAGCAGCAGCTTTTTCTTCGGTTGCCCCTGGGCAAATGGCTTTCAGTCACATTCATGGACTAAATTAGTTGTCCCCCGCAGTCCAGGAGTTCTGTGCTGACTCCCTACTGTGTTCCTTTTTTGTTATTGAGCGATAGAGGTTGTATCAGTGTAGTCTCTACTGTCACGTGTGGTGTAAATTACAGGGACAGTAACACCTAATCCTGTGTATCTCTGCATTGCTGCATCCATTTGATGATCACACCATGTCCTCGCTGGGCAGCAGATCCAAGTGGTTGCGTGGGTGTAGGGTGAGTTAGATCGAGCTGTTCACCTCATAGAAAACTGGTAATTCTACAGTGCAGGTTTTCCATCAGCTCATTGCCTTGGCCAGTGAGTTCAGGGATTGAATCAGCCTGATTTAATCCGATGTGATGAGAGCCCTTGCCTGATGGGGATGGCACTGCTCCTTTCAGCAGCAGCTTGCAGCTGGGGTCAGGAGTGATGTACAACCACATCCTCTTAAGCGGCCAGCTACCAAGATCAGAAAGGTGAAGATGCGGAATTTCTGACAACCATGAAAAGAAAACTATGTCCAAGAACCAGGAGTTTGATCAAGGTTACTCGGGGAGGAAAAGCTTTTGGTCTGTGGGAAGGGAGGAGAGCTGGGCTGCACCACCTGTGGCCAAGGCTGCCATCGCAGGAGCACCTGGCTTCGGACTGTGTCCTAAGCGCTGACCCTCAGTAATTTGGTGTCCTGAGCAACTGGTTTCTTTGCATAGATTGAAAGTGGGTCTTGCTGGAACCATTGAAAAAAAACCTGAAGTATGTTCCGTTGTTAGTGGTGTCAAAGCAGAGAAAATACCAAAACCAAAACATGCTCTTACTCCCAGTATACTGCCTTAGGCAGGATTTTGAAACAACCCGGATTTGACCAAAAGAGAGAGGATGTCATCTTATTTCCACAACTATGGCTATTTCTATTGTATGTTTTGCCAAGTATTAATCTCGATGTAAAATTCTGTTACAGCCACTTAAACCAGATGATCATGTCATTATCCAAGCTAGTGGCCGTACTCTGCAGATTAAGGAGGCTCAAGTGTCAGACACTGGTCGTTACACTTGTCTGGCATCCAACATTGCTGGAGAGGATGAAGTGGAATTTGATGTAAATATACAAGGTAAACAGAGCTCAGATAATAAAATTATTTTGGTAGACTCCTTTTCAAGTGATCTGGGATGTTGGAATTCTTTATAATGTTGTATCCTTTACACCTGCTTGGTCTAATCCAATGCTTTTGCGTTTTGTGTGATTTTTATTTCATATGTATCTTGCTCATCTTTAAGAAATACAGTATTTGATTATTCTTTCTTTCATATTTTGTGACATATGCAGTGTTTCTGAAGTCAGAACTGGTCAGTCAGTTCTGATTTTCCTCTGAACTATGTGAAAAAGTTTTAATTTAGCTTAAACTAGGATGTTGTATTTTATTTATCTGTATTGAGTAGTACTTAGAGGCCCCAGACATGAGCATCCTGTTGGCCTACACACGGTGTAAATATAAGAAAACAATCACTAGTCATTTCTCAAAATTTAGACAAAATTAGAACTTGAGTAAAACCAGATAGCTTACTATTTCAGTATTATTGTTGATTAATACCCTCTGTGTTTTATTATTGGGTCTTCTTACACTGTTATTTATCTTCAGAAAATATTCAGGAGATTGCTCAATTGTTCATTCTGATGAAAAGAATGAGGATTTTCCTGGCTAATCTAAACTGGAGGGAGGGGTTAATTTTTATTGCGGCTATTTAACAATTACAGCAGCTTTTAATTTCTTGACTTTAAAACTAGCTATTTCTGCTGTAAAATTCTAACGTTTTTCCCCTCCTCTGTTGTAGTCCCTCCTAGTTTCCAAAAGCCTTCTAAGGAATGGGAAGCTGGTAACGCAGTAGATACGGGAAGAGGTGGAGAAAGTAAAGATGTGATTGTCAACAATCCCCTTTCACTGTACTGTGAGACCAATGCTGTTCCTCCTCCAGTTCTTACATGGTATAAAGATGGCCATCCTCTGAGCTCTAGTGATAAAGTACTAATATTACCAGGTGAGTATTAAAATGTCACTCTCTGACCCTAAGAAATGACGTTAGTGCTAGTATTTGTGTAGTAATAAACTCTTCCCCTTCGAAACACTGCATTAATGTTCTTTTCAGATTTTCTTGACTGGAAATGTTTCTTTCCAGTCTCTGGACTTCAGGTGTTTCCTTCTTTCATTTAAAAAGTAGTCCCTAAAATGGTGTGAATGTGACCATTTAACTTTCATGTGATGTGTTGAAAAATAAAATACAACAACGATACCTTCTCTCTGACGTGTTCCTCATTTATTTTCTTATTAAGTTTTGCTTTAGCAAAACCATAATTGGAGCAGAAAAACCTCTTAACCAGGGAGTGAGGCATGCAAATAATGTTTCCAGGAGAAAAATGACTATGAGCTCCCACTTAACCTCATATGGGAGAGGGAAAGCGGTGCTTATAACACTGAGCCATTCTGTACAGAGACTGGTTTGGGATGGTGTGTGTAAAGAAGGGCAGTGGTGGGATAGTGTCTTTTTGTCTACCTGTTGCTTACCTGTTGGGAGACCAATGACAACCACTCCCAAAATGTGTTCCTAGTATGTCCTCTCTTTCTGAAGCTATTTATGTGGCTATGCTTTAAATGAGGAATAAACTAAAAAGTACCTATAGCCTTCAGAAGTTGTTTTTTTTTGTTTGGAACAGCTTTACCAGAATATTCTGTCCTTGTATTTCCTTTTACCTATTAGTTCTCTGTCACCTTGCTGAGGAATATTTCTGTATTTGATTGAAGAATAACATCTGGCTGCATATTGCTGAAGAACGTTATTCCCTTCTCTGGAATTAATTACTCTTTTCTAGCATTTCAGTATGATAATTGCTAGATTCCAACTATGTGCCAGTAGAAAAAGTAGCTGGGAAATAAAAGTCTTTAGTTAACTTATAATTCAGAACAAATGCTGACCATTCATTAATATGCTTGCTCAGGTCTCTAGTGAAATGTGGTGTGGAAATGATGGAAACTGCTTGATGCTGCAGTTAAATCTTGAATGCGTTTTCCTTGCAGGAGGCCGAGTGTTGCAGATTCCACGTGCGCAGGCTGAAGATGCCGGGAGATACATGTGTGTGGCGGTAAATGAAGCTGGGGAAGATTCCATTCATTACGATGTCCGCGTGCTCTGTGAGCTTTCCTGGTTTTCTTTTTCTTTTTTTAATGACAAAAGAGAGTTCTGTGGAATCCAATGAAGCATTATAGTCCAGGTTTACTGAAAGTTTTTGAAGTTAATAAATTCTGCATATTTGTAAACTATGAAGTTATTGTGTTTATATAAGGTGCTAGAGTTTTGTAGAGGTATGCAGAATTGCATGAAAATAGTGTTAATGTTGTTAGTTCAGTATGGTTTGAGGTTATTGTTACAGGAAGTCAATTGCATTATCACTATCACACTTCACCAGAAAGAAAAGTATATGTAGACATCCAGGTTTTATCTTGGTATCTCTTGTTCCCTATGCACTTTCCAGTTCAAAACTCTGACCTACTAGACTTTTCTCTCTTCTTATTTTTGTCATCATTTTCTAACTGCAAAACTCCCAAAGACTTAAGGGAATCGATGATGCAGATCAGCTATTGAATGTCTGCAGAGTCCATCTTGTATGATCTGCTTACAGACATTGCACAGAAAGCTTTTGTATGCTGCTTGCATTGGCTGTTGATGTACTCAAGGTTTTTACCTTGGGAAATGCTTGTTCACTTCTGTTTTGGTATTATGTACTGCTGAAAACAGTAATTCGTTGTTAGGAAGAGGCCCTGCCCTGGAAATCCTCTCGTTCTGGAAGCAAAGAACGTGACAGCTAGCTGAAAAATGAGGTTTCACCTCTTCTTTTTTATGGCTGCTGTGAATGAGCATGCTTCTGCAGTCCCTCGAGTTACACTGATTTGTTCCAGCTGAACGGCTCTTGGGATTTTATTATCTTTCACTGAAGATTTCGCTACTTTCCTATAAAAACCCAATCTCAAAGATTGGTGGGCAATCTTAAAAAACAAAACCGAAACCCAACAAAAACCACTGGGAGATACTAAATCACAGTGTTCTTATCGTGTTTTCCCCTTCTGTAGTACCACCATCCATCAGTGGAGCGGACGGTGATGTGCCTGAAGAAGTGACTGTGCTTGTTAACAAGGTTGCGGTCCTGGACTGTGTGGCAAGCGGCAGCCCTTCTCCAAGTATCACCTGGCAAAGGGACGGCCACCTCCTAGCAGAAGACGACAAACACACTTTTTTGTCCAATGGAAGGAGGTTACAGGTAGCTCTTACTGAATAACTGATTTCTAGCATCGCAAAAGACAAAACTGTTTAGATTTGCCAAGTATGGGATTCTGATTTTTTTTTTTCTTCTACAAGGTGCTCCAAATGTAAGGAGTTTTTGTCCCTTGTCCCTGTCCCTCAGCTGCTTCTTCCTGCTCCTGTGTGGTTCTCAGTTGTGCTGACCCAACTGTTTGTGGGGTCATGCTGCGAACCACATCAGTGAAATCACTTGCTTTAAAATAATGCTGATTTTTCTGGAGAACAAATTGTTGTAGTCAATTTTGTCCAGGTTTCACTAACAGAGTTTAATTATTGCAAAATTTACTTTTTTTTTTGTTTGTTTGTTTAAAGAAAAGAGTGAATCCTGAAGAATATGCATCCCAAATCAATGGATGATACTGGATGAAACTGTTAAAGCAGTTAGAGCTGAGCTTAATTCTCTCCATTTTCATAGTGAGATCTAAGAATACAGTAAAATATAAGAACCATATAGAACATTAAGATTTTTATTTCAAATATTTTGTGAATAGTTGTTTTGTTATTCAACTTAAATGAATTTAATGCGCAAGATACAATGTTGACTTTTTCTGGAGGTTTGAGGCAGATTGTGAAAGGAGTGGAAGTTTCTCTGATTGGCTTCTTCATAACACTGCAAAGGCATTAGCAAAAAAACAAATCAGATTAAAAAAACCCGCAGACTTGCAGGACCCAAAGGCCTTGGGGTCTTTGGGGAGACACCAAAACTTGATGCTTTAACAGTAAGTTGTCTTGTATTAGCTCAACAACAATCTTGTTTATTTTTCCTAGATTTTGAATTCCGAGATAACGGATACTGGCAGGTATGTCTGCATTGTGGAAAACATAGCTGGGAGTGCCAAAAAGTATTTTAACCTAAATGTTCATGGTAAGTGCAATAATCCAGTATTTTCCAGTTGTCTTCTTTCAAATGTTTGTTTAGCTCGAATGTGTTAATTTTAGCAGAGTGCTTAGGCACATGCTTCGCTTTATGCATGTAAGATGTCTTACTGGTTGTAATGGAGATTCTGACATACCAGAAATCGAACGTAAGTGTAAAGTACCTTGGCAAAACATAGCTTTGTCATACCCCGTGGTTTCAGCTCTTTATGTGCGTTCCATGTAGGTGGAAATTATCATTAAGGGAGCCTGGTGTAGTTGCTGTATATGTATACTCTGGTGGTGTTCCTGAAGCCCTGAAATAATGTACTACCATCTGCTAACAAAGAGATACGGTGTTGTAAAAGCTTACTTTTAAAAAATGTATCCTTTAAGATTCCTTTCCAGTTTTGTTGCTGCTGTTGAGTTAGAATAGGATTAAAATAAATTTGGGCCTTTGACATCACAAGTCTAAACCAAATACAATCAAGAAATCAAGACATTTTCCATTATTTTAAAAAACAGTCACTCTACCACTTTCCCTTACCTCTCCTGATAACTTCAGAAAATCCGCATACCTCTAATTAACATTTCAGAGTTAACCTTAAGTTCTCCTTTTATTTCTGTCCACTCTTCCTCCCACCACTTTCAGCCTTCCATTCTGAATTGAAGATCACATAAGCATTGCTTCCACAAAATCATCTGCACAATTACATGTTAAACCCTACCAAGGAGTACTGGCAGCTACATCTTCATCTACTTTCACAGTACGATTTGGAGACTTTTATCAGAGTCTTCTACATATGATCAGTATCCTTTTTCACATCCTCGTTAGCTAGCTAATCTTCTGTATTACATACTAGATAGGAGACAGGTGTTCTCTCTCTCGCTTAAATGCAGTACCAGCATCCGAGGAATTTGATGATTCAGGTTATTACATACAGAAGAAATTTTTTTTTCTCATTCACACATGCAGGAAATTTACATACTAAATGAAATAAATTTATAGTGTGTTTTTCTACTCAGTAATACAATTAGCCAAACCCAGTGTTGTCATGGGAAGAATTTGCCCTGGAGTCATTCTCTGGGAAGTTATTTTCTTTCAGTGGAGTCTGTCCAGATTTCCTGATGTTTGAGTTTTGTTTTAAAATAAAAATATTTTGCTTTTCTTGACACTTCTGTTTAAATTTAAGTTTCTTGTCTTTAAAATATTTGTTTATAATGACTATAGTCTAATACTATTATTTAAAAATAAATATTTGCATGACATTTCAATTGTAGCTCAACAGTATTGCCAATTTAGGTCTTGTAATCTTTGAATGGAGATTAATTTGAAAAATTAGACTGTAGCTGTTCAGGAAAGGACCACCCAGGGTGAAGCACTGATGAAGATGCATTATCACTAAGCAGCACAATCTTTTGTCAGTGTCAAAAAAAAAAGATTATTTTCCAGCATTTTTGTGTGTTTCTAATGGAGCTGCTTTCATAAATTTAAATAAAATACTGAAGATTATGCTCTTTAAGTTAAAAAATTCCCTTCTTGTCTGACAGGTAATAAAATGAAAACAAAACCTTCTAAGACATTGAAAATAAGCATCCAGTTTTAAAATCTTATCCTCTAACCTTTATGTATAATAAATAGATGATTTTCACACTGAATACTAAGTTGAGCCCCTTACTGCCTCTGTATGCTGATTGTCTGTGGTACATTTGTGAGTGGTTTGCACATGCTGTGGAGGCTGCGGAATTTGAAATGTTTATATCGTTTAAGCAAAATTCATTAAAAGATAGCTCAGTTTTGGCCTTGTGTATCTAATTGCCCACTGTCTTGCACTGACAGTAATCACATCTGTGAGAAAGTAACTGTAAAAGTAAATAAGCATCAATAACTATAAAATGTCATCAGATCAGAATTCTCTATTTATTCTAGTGAACCACTTTATACACTCATTATCAGGGAAATAACCTTCCGTTATTCCAAGTTGAAAAATGTGGACTGAATTCACCCATTTACATTGACTCCTCTTGTTTCTGCAGTGCCACAGAGGAGCAATAAACTTGGCTTAATGACTGTTTTGTGTCATTCAAGTGACAGAAAGCAGCTGGAGTATTTCTGGTGGATATGGTCCAAAATACTTTTAACATTTTTGTCTTTGAAGAAGACGATTCCATGTGTTCTTTGGAATGATTTTTCCACCCAATAGAGCCAAGAACATGCTTTTGCTTTCCTCTTTAGTGTTTTATATAGCCACGCTGCAACAACATGGAAATTAAAACTTGAAGTTCATTAAAAGGAAGAGATTTGCAGTTATTTAATTTAAAATAGTTCTTGTAGAAAGGTCAAATGTCAAAATCTTCTTATATTTGAAAATATTGGAACTGGTAAGCACCCCTTAGAGCAGTGCTTGCATGCCAGAATTTTAAACTGCTTAGCTCACTATTAAACAACAGGTTTATCTGGTTAGCAGAAGAACTCTGAATTGTATCAGAAGGAATCATTTTTTTGTTCTCTGTAATGAGAAAATGGACTATTTCAGAATGAATAGGAGATATCAGGAAGAAATTATACTTAGTCATCCTGCATATCCTCACAAGGTAAATTTAATCTGTCCTGCCTTACATAGCAAGTGTCCTATGAGAACAGCATTTTAAAATTGATAATGTATTAGTCAGGAACTGCAGGGTCTCTTCTTTTAGATTAATTGTTCTCACCAACAAGGAAGGGCTGGTGGGGAATGCAGAACTTCAGGGCAGCCTGGGATGCAGTGACCATGAGATGGTGGAGTTCAAGATCCTCAGGGCAGTGAGGAAGGCACATGGAAAACAAGCAGGTGATTGGTGACAACCAACATGGCTTTATCAAGGAAAAATTGTACCTGATGAATTTGGTGTCTTTCTACGACAGGGCCACAGTGCTGGTAGATAGAGGAAGGGCAACTGACATCATCTATCTGGACTTGTGCAAAGCCTTTGACACAGTCCCACACGACATCCTTGTCTCTAAGTTGGAGGGACATGGATTTGACAGAGGGACCACTCGCTGGATAAGGATTTGTCTAGATGGCCACACTCGCTAAACGACCGCACTCAAAGAGTGGTGGTCAATGGCTCAATGTCCAGGTGCAGACTGGTGACAAGTAGCTTTCCGCAGGGGTCAGTACTGGGACCAGT